AAATCATGCGGCCTGCATCTATTTGTGTTTTATGAAATTTGATATTATAAATGATGATATGATTTGATAATTAAATTATGATATTATAATAAAAAGAATATAAAATTAAATTTTATAAGTTATACTGTAAAGTCTATCCCCTTGGATAATTGGATTAGATGTAAATTTTATCTTAATTAACTATCGGGATTTAATTGGGACTGAACATATATATTTTATTGAAACTTATAAATACGTTCCATATAATAAATTTATTTACAAATAAATTTTAGAAACTAGAAAAATACACTCAAGTTTTATGAGATTTGATTATAATTAATTCATCATATAAACTGTCTCAAATGTCTTTAAACTCTCAATCATTTAACTAGTATTGACTGACCATAATAGCTGTAACCCTTAGCCATAGGTAAATATTTAAGATTTACAAGTAACACTTATCTTTATAATTCAACCCCTTATAATATTAATATTTAAAAATTAAAGGTCCCAAATTTATAAGTCTAGATGTTTAACTTGTAAATATGTGAAGTTAACTTGTAAATATTAATCTATTAATATTATAAGAGATTGACTTGTAGATATAATAAGTTTAAATTTATAAATCTTGAAGATTTACTTATAAACCATTAAATTTTTTTAAAAATTATTTTTTGACTAGTCAATGTTGACTAATTTAATAACCGATCAATGTTGGTTGATTACAATTAAAAGATTGGTTTCTAAGGGCATTTGTTTTATTTTACATAGTAAATTAGTTACAACTAAGACCCATAGAATTTGAGTGTATTTTCATAAGTTCATCAGAATTATGTGTAAATAAGTTTTTTATGTCGGACCCATTTGTAATTTTTCCTATTTTATTATATTTTAAATGTGTTATTTCTTGTTTCATGGGGCATGGCTATTATTTCTTGTTTTGTTTGAGCAGAATAATAATATTTCTGGATAGAAACAAAGATTAACTATCGAAAAAAAGGAACAAAGATTCATACAAGCTGTAACTGTCCAACCTCCTTTATCATATCATATAAACCCCACTCGCTCACTAGCCTTCTTCCCCAGAGTTCCTCTCATTTCGCAGTTTCTGGGCGGGTGATCTTGATCTTGAATCGATATTCAGAAGATTTCAATGGAGACTCCATTTTCATTGTCGTCCAGAAAAGAAGACAGAGAGAGACAAAAAGATCTCAGGAGAATCTACCGCTAATCCGAATGGCAATATAAACAACATGCCAGTTTCTGGAAATACAGTGCCAGCAATATTGGAAAGCTCAGTTTCTGAGGAAGAAGAAGAAGAAGCAGAAAGAACAAGAGGGTTTATTATTACTGCTGAAGAATGGTTTTGTGATATCTTAGCAGAATCCTTTGTCTTTCTTCGGCCCTGGGTACCGTATATGCCTCCTCGACTTCACTTGTTCTTTTATTTTCTTCACCTTCTTCTTTTCTTGAGGTCTAAACTTAAACTATGGTTTATCTCTTGGATTTTATTACTCTCTTCTTTTTGTTTATTTTTTTCCCTTTCTTCTTTTTCAAACTTCTTGATATATGATATAGACTAGACATGGTGTGGTCCGATGCATCAGTAATATTCATTTCTAATATTTGATCGATCACCATGTATCCCTAGTTGTTGCTTCAGTAACTCATTATTATTTCTTTAATTTACTCGTCTTCATCATCGTGCGAAAGAAATGTGCAATGGGTCATAATGTATTCACGTGTCTGTACGTGTTATTTTACCTCTCTCATAGTTTAATTGATTGTACGTTCTGAGAGTTTATACTTTGATGCATGGCGTGACGATGACGATGAAATAAAAATAAATAAAATTATGCATTATTTCCCTAGAAGCAGCACGTTGTTAAAAGTACGTCTTTATCCGGATCGAATTTTTACTCCTTCATAAAATTTTTAGGTTCAAATTTTTCTAACAAATAAATTGTTAAATGGTGTTTTTACCGCTAAATAATTTGAAGTTACAATATAAAACAACTTTAAATCATTAATTAAGTTCAATGATTAGTTATATGAAAAGTTATATTAGGATTTTAACAAGTCCAATACATAAGTTAACAAATTTTGCCAGTGAATTAATAGGTACACTAGCAAAATAATAAGTTAAGTTAAGGTTTAAATAAGTTTATTTCTTAATAACAACAAACAAGTCAACAAAATTAAATATGTAAAATGTATTATTAAAGTGTTCTGCTAGTGATTTAATATGTATGCATTAGTGAATTAAAGAGTTAGATTAAGATTTTAACAAATCTGCTTCATATTGTAACAAATTAATAAAATTGAATATGTTTAAGGTATTTTTAACAAGTTTTACTCCTAAATTTACAAGTACACATTAGTGCTTGCAATGACAAATTATGTTAAAATTTTAACAAGTTCACAACACATATATTATAATAACAAGTTAACAAGATTGAATGTGTAGGAGTTATGTTGTTAATAAGTTTTGCTAATAAATTAATAAGTACATGTTAATAAAATAACAGGTTAATTAGAGTTTTAACAAGTCTACCTCATATATATTATAACAAGTCAACGAAATTGAACATGTGAAAGAACAAGTTAACAAGTTTTGTTGGTGGAAGGCTGAAAGAAGTCTCTCCATCTACTAAGAGAAAACTCTCCCAACCTTCTCTCTACCCGTGGTCATGAGAGGAGTTCATCAATCTAGGATTTCCAGAAACTAATTAAGTTATATATCTTTCTCGTGACAGTTCATCCCCTGCTTTCCCCACCATTTCCCATATTTTTTTTTTGCCTCTGAATTTATATATTGTGGCTTGTCAATATAAGAAGAATCATTTGTGAATTTTTAGGAAGTTAATTGTAAATTTATAAAAAATTAATTGTGAATGGATATTCAGAAATATAGGAGAGGATCTTTAAATCATTGATTTATAATCACTACAAAAAAAAAAGCTGATTAGCGACAGAATTTTTTGTCGCTAAATAAATTAGCGACGGAATATTTCTGTTGGTAAAAACATCATCCCTAATTCGTTAGCGACAGAATTGTAAGGATAAAGTTATTCTTACTTTGTGATGGAATGCATTCTGTTGCTAATTTTTTAACGAACTTATTTCGTCGCTAATTCTGTTGCAAATTTATTAGGTGGACCAAAATTTCATTGCCACGTCACCCGGTGGGTCAATGCCACCTCACCACTACCTAGTCACCCAGTGGACCAGTGCCACTTCACTGTCATGTTACCACTACGTCCTAGTCACCCAATGGATCAGTGCCACGTCATCGCCATGTTATTTGTCATGAAATGTCAAATATTATTACCTTCAATTATACCTTGGCTTAGTTCGAACTTGCAACCTTATACTCCCATGTGCCTTTGCATCTACCTTGTTGTCAGTGAGCTAAAAAGTATCTTTAGTCCTAATTAATAAATTAAATATATAATACTAACTACACACACATATATTAATAAATATATTATTTAAATTATTATTAAATATAGTAGTCAAATTTACTTATTTTTTCAACATTATATTTATTTATTAATATGGAAAAATTAATTTATATATAATAATTATTGCTATTATTTTATTTAAAAAAATTATTTTTGATAATAAATTTAATATTAAATTTAAAAATATTTTATTATCATTATATATTATATTATAATTTGTATCTATATAATAAAAATATTTTATTTTTTATTTTATAATTATTTTATTTTATTTTTATTTTTAAATAAGAATAATTAAGTATACAATTTAAATTATTATTAATAATATACAAATAATTTAAAATAATAGATTATTTTAAATTATAATTTTTAAATTATTTATTTATAGCATGATAAGAAATTATTAAATAAATTATATATAAATATATATTATAAATAATAAAATTAAATTAAAAATAATTAGCGACAAAATTATGATAGAGAGCTTTATAACAGAATTTTTTATTGTAAATTCTGTCACTAAATTGAAATAAGATATTCTAACCATTAATGATGAAATTTTTCATTAGTAAATTATTTTTGATAGATTAACGATAAAATAATGATAAAATTTTAGCGACAGAAACTTTCATCACTTCGTCACTAAATTCCGTCACTAATTTGTTGTTTTTTTGTAGTGAATTAAGACTATACATGTTTATTTAGAATTAAGTTTCATATATTTACAAGTAATATTCTTTAAACTCACAGATGACTTGTGAATCACAAGTGATGCAAAAATTTATTAGATTATTTAGTCATTTAAAATTAAATTTTCATAAAATTTATGACTGACCTTTTTAAAATTAATAGGTGACTATTCTTAAATTTATAAGTAACGATACATAGATTCACAAAATTATCTATTCATTTATAATTTATTTTTGTTAATTCACAAATTATATTACTTAAATTTATAATTAATTTTACTTAAATTTATGGGTGATGTTTTATTAATTATTTTAAGAATTATTTATTTTTTCATTATAAATAAGGATTCCCTCTTGACATTTCAATGATTCTTGACTGATGTCTTTGCAAGATCTATCATTTTGCTTTAAAAGAAAAAAGCAAAAGCTTACGAGTTTATTTAAAATTATTTTTATTTTATTATTATAAAAATTATTATTTTATAAAACATGTTTTAAAAAAATAAAAATAAGTGTTTTTATTATCTTTTATTCTTTAAAATAATAATTTCAAAACATCTAACAAATGTTTTCATTTTTTTATTCTTTAAAATAATTTTTTATTTTTTCATTCTAAAAATTAAGAACTATTTTTAAAATAAATTGTCAAACAAGCACTACATTTTCAGCAATCAAATACTGGAGGATTAGTAGGACTTGCAATTCCTTAATTTTTTAAAATTTTTTATATTATATAAGTGTTAGATATTTTCAACACTTTTAAATTTTATAAAAATTTTATGATATGTATAATTTTTAACTTTAACCTCTGTTCTTAAATCCTGACTCCGCGTCGCGCCCTTACCAGCAACCACGAGTCATGGAGTCTCTGCTCATTGGTCAAGGGAACAGTGAACAGTGTCAAGTGGCACATGCCTCTTGGCCTGTTTCTCGCGTGTCGCAAATGCGACCCCAAGCCCCAAACTTTACCCCTTGCTTATAGTCCCAGCGACAAGGCTGATGCCTGAATTCTTGTAGCATAGTGAAAATTTTTAACATATTTATTGTTTATAACGTCCGAATCTGAGGAGCTTCAGATCCCAAATTCCCAGATTTTCCTTCTCAAGCTTCACTTGTGTTCGATCTCGCGCCCAATCTTCCTCCGGTGGTGCTCGGATCGGAAAACCGTTCCGTCCTCCTCATCTGTGGTGGTCCGTCTTGGTGCTTTCTCCGTCGTGATTCTGGTCCGGTGTTCGATTACTGTTCTGAGCATCAGGTAAGGGGTTCTTCAGCATGCTGCCACTAAGCTTCTCGTGCTGCTGCCTCTCTCAATATCATCGGCTGGTATCGGATTGCAGGGTAATTGAAGGTGGCTCTCTGAATCTAAAAGCTGGATGATTGCAGGGTGATTAAAGGTGTGTGTTTTTGTTTACGGGCAATTTAATATTTATGTTAATTTGATCATTTCTTCATCATGTGTACGTTTTAAAGCACAAAGGAGGGGACTTTGCGGTTGGATTTTTCAAAAGGATTGGAACAAATCCTTGTGGTTTGCTTTATGAGAGGAAGGAAAAAAATAGGTCAAGCGGGGAAATAGTAAAGACAATAACGGATTGGTAAATTTGTAACAGTTGCTCACTTAAGGGAACGAGTTGAACACAGTTTTCTGTTGGAAATCCATATAACTTGTATCTAGAACCAAATGGATCCTCCTAATCAATGGTTTTACTTACCTGTATCTTTATATGCTGTATCCAGAATGAGCATATACGACAAAAAGTAGGCATGGCATCTATTGAGGAAAAGATAGTGGAAAATGATCTGAGATGGTTTGGACATATATGGAAAGGGCTGTGGGGGCACTAGTAAGGAGAATAGAACAGATAATCTTAAGTTCATATAAGAAGACCAAAGAGAATATTTGTAAAAGTTATTGGACGAGATCTCTTAATTAATAATATTTTTAAAAACTTGGTTGATGATAGTGTGCAATAGTGTCGTGCAATCTATATAACCTGACCTCACTTAGTAGGCTGAGGCTTTTTGTTGATGTTATTGTATCTTCTTATACTTACCCTAAAATTATTTGCCAAATAGATGCTCCTATACAATGAAGTATTTATAAAAAAAAAAATTGGACGCTTGATGGTTTAGCCTGATAGGTATTCTAGATATAGCTCACGTCCATGCTTAAGCTTAATTTTCCTTAGAGGAACTAGTTTAGCTTGTTTCACGGAGTTCTCCATGGAGATAAACCTGTCTTTGGAAAAAGCAATTCCGAAATATTAATTGAAGTGTTTGACCACGTAGCTTCTGATAACACTTCATATTATATTTGCATGATTTGCGGTGCTTATTTTACCATTTACATTCTTGTGACAAAGAAATAGTCAAATAGCTTTTTGGTGGTAAGTAGGAACCTGATGTGGAAGCTCTGTAACGTATTGAAATGGAGCTGTGTGTGTGTGTGTGTGTGTTGGTCTCTACAACTGGAGCATATTTGCTATAGGTGTCTCGTGAGTTATAGATGATATTGACTTAATATTGCAGAATGAGAGCTATAACACTGCATGACATTAAAGGCAATAAAATAAACACTGTAATATAATTTAGATTTTTATCTCTTTTCACAATAGAATCTGACGTTGACATTGGCTTTCTTTCGTTACTGTCCCCAATGGGTTCATGAATGTGCTCTGCAAACAAGATATTTTGATTATCTATATGGGGCTTGGTGTTATTTTAGATGAGGGGGTTAAATTTGTTTATGAGGGTTCGTGTTAAATTTTGAAAAAATTTACTTATATGAAGAATTAATAAATATGCTCATTGGCATCTGTTTTATATTAGGTTTACAAATCCGAAGGACAACCTATATAATGTGATCATATACAAAGTGGATTCTTCATGTTGAGAATTGTGATCAACCTTTTCTTTGTTGCTGAAGTGGAGTCTAAATGAATATAAAGGGCACAGCTTTTCTGATTTTTGGGTGTATCGGGCTGCATGCTTAGACTAGTCTGGATCTTGTTCTGGTGACTGCCTTAATCCAAATATCTGTGTTCATTCTGTTCTGCCTTTGACCAGCAGGCAAAGCTGAGAATTGTTGATTGTGTTCCAACAATGAATAACTCAAGTTTAGGAGGTCGATTTTTATCCAATCCCAGTGGAGGGATATTGGACCTGGAATTGCCATTCAACAGAAATCAACATGCTCAGTTGGGTCACCCATCAGTGACCAGCCAAAATCAAATGGCTATGGTGAGTGGTTTAGAAAATGATCACCCAGTCGGGCTATTAGAAGTGAAAGGCTCAAACACAACAGTGAATTTTGGTAAGGGAAAAGCGGCAGCTCTCACTATTCCCACCAATAGTGATGATATGAGTGAAGAGGATGAACCAAGTCATGCAGAAGATGCAAATTGCGAGAACTATGACGGTGGGAAGAACAAAAAGAGATCTCCATGGCAGCGAATGAAGTGGACTGACAATGTAGTTAGGCTTCTTATAGGGGTGGTAGCTTGTGTGGGTGATGATGGGACAATTCAAGGCATGGATGGTCATAGAAGACGATCCGGGTGTCTACAGAAGAAGGGTAAATGGAAAACGGTTTCCAAGATAATGATAAAAAAGGGTTGCCATGTTTCGCCGCAACAGTGCGAGGACAAATTCAATGACTTGAATAAGAGGTACAAGAAGCTAAATGATATACTTGGAAGAGGAATTAGCTGCAAAGTGGTGGAGAATCCTGCATTGATGGATTCAATGCCCAACCTGTCAACAAAAACAAAGGATGTGGTTCGAAAGATTTTGAGCTCAAAGCACTTGTTCTATAAGGAGATGTGTGCTTACCATAATGGACAAAGAATACCAAACTGCCATAATCTTGATCTGCATGCCTATTCTCTACAACAAGGGAGGGATTCGAGAGACAATGATGACTCAGAGGAGGAAGCTGAGGACTTAAATGAAAGTGAGGATGATGAGTTAGATGATGAAGGTAATCATGATGCTCGTGGTGATGCAGAGATGATGGAAGAGCACAGTGGAAAGAACAATAACGACAATGATGACCGTGGCGGCCCACAATCTTCTAGGGTGGAAAAATTTGAAGCTGAAATGGCAAGTATTTTTCAAGACCCCCTCAAGTCAGGATGGGAACGAAGTCAGTGGATTAAGATACAGATGTTGCAGCTGCAAGAGCAAAAAGTGACTTGCCAAGCCCAAAGTCTTGAACTTGAGAAGCAGCATTTTAAGTGGCTAAGATACTGCAGTAAGAAAGATAGGGAGCTAGAGAGGTTGAGGCTGGAGAATGAAAGAATGAAACTGGAGAATGAGCGTCGAATCTTGCAACTGAAGCAGAAGGAGCTTGACTCAGATTTAAGGAGGTCTGAGATGTCCATAGCCCCTTTCTCTCTTGGAACTAGCAGGATGCAAGGTGGGGAACATATCAACCTGGGCAGACAGCTGTAGGACATGTTTGGAAAAGATTCGTATCCTTGCTTATTACGTAGTGCATGAAATGAAAACCCGCTGTTGAATCTGTTTTATATTTTGTTGCAACCATAAAAATTCACATGGCAGGTTAAATATATAAGATGCATTGTCATGGGAAATGACTGATGTTCTCATTTGATCTTGAGCATTTGACTATAGGGACGTTTGGAAAGTGTCGGTTTTGGGCACCCGCCAGACAGACTTTCACCAAATCCAACATTAACGGACTTCCAAACATGTTGGATATGGTTGACAAATGAGTTGATTAGACCTCCCCTTTTAATTTCTCACTTTCCCATCCCGAACTTAAAAAATGGTTTCATTATGATTTTTGGAATACTTATTTTGATGAAAGCACATATCATGGCAGTCGATTTTTTTATTTCCTTTAAAAAATGCGTTAATGCTTCGAATAGAATTACTTCTATAAGAAGAATACCTGTGAGAAAAAAAAAAAAAAATCTGCCCAGAATTTGTTGCTATTCTATGGCAGTCACCTTCCAATAGTTATAACATGAGATACAAACCTCGAATTCAAGTTATTCAAAAGCCTATACAAGGCTTACAATAGAATCAAACTATATACATCAAATTCAACCGGAGACATAGATGCCACAGATGGGCTATCCATGTCAGGTTATAGCTTAGTCGTGGATGAATGCTAATCAGGCAAGGGGGAAGCTGTGCATGTCGATGGAAAAAAGAAAAGAAAAAAGAAAGCCCTTTTTCTAGCTTTACACCACCTATCTCCTCGAGCTGCTTCACTGCTTCGGTAGCAGATCGACGGTGATGAGTTTTTTTTTTTTTAAAAAAAAAAATTTTGAAAAGGGGTTTTGGACTTTTTATATTTCTAATATACATAATCAATATAAAATAAATTAGGATTCCATTGCTTAACTAACATATTTTAAAATTCAATTTTATTTCAATTTTAATTTCAATTTTTTACACTTAATATTAGTTAAGTTCCAGACAATTTTTTTTACAAAATAAATTATAAATATCAATTCAAATAGTTACAAATAAAAATTTCTGTTGCAATTTAAAATTACATTTGATGTTTAATACTTATTTATAATTGAAACTCTTGGATTTGTAATAATTTGGATAGATATTTTTAATTTATTTTTTTAAAAAAATTATTGAGGACTTAATCGGTATTAATTCAATATTTTGGGACTTAATTGTCATTCTTCCTATTTATATTCCAAGTATCACTAAAATTATTTTGTATGCCAATAAATAGATATAGTTGAGGACTTGAGGTGATGCATGAAATAATGCATACACAAAGTTATGAAGGCAGAAAGGCCTGTTTAATTTGTTTATAAGAATGACCTCCAAATTGGGGTTCGCTTTAGTGCTTATCATGGTGATAATATTTGGACCATTTAGATTTTAATCTGAACTATTTAGATTTTATTTTATATTTTTATTATATATTTATTAACATAAAAAATTATAAAAAATTTAATAAATCTAATTTGTTATCAATCTAGACAGTTTAGATTTAATTTGAATGATTTAAAGGTACAAGTTTAACTCACATGAATTCTTGTAAGTAAATGAATTTGTTGTAAGTAATTAGACAATTAGACTTTTCTTATTATTTACAAATCTTTTATTGTTAATTTTCTTTGATTAACGTACATGACAAATATTCTCACTCATTAAGGGAAATTCAATCTTTTTACCTTAAAAAAATAATTGCACTTGAGGCCTTTACTCTTTAGGTTGCAGAGGAATTTCAAAATTCATTGGGCCTATAGCGTGGATATGTGCCTTTAGTAGGCCTTAAATGCAATATTCCCATTTTTTAACCCCAATTATAACCCTATCAATGTTTAATTCTCTGTTTAAAGTGTTGGACAAAAATAAACCCTATGGAATTGATAAAAAAATAAGTCTCATTCCTTTAATCCTTTGTGTTTATTGGCTTTAGAAGATAGAAACTAAAAAGAAACGCTTCTGTTTTTTCCTTTTTGTTTAGAGATATCCTACCGCAAAGGTTGATAGTGATGGTGGTGGATGACAGCGGTGATGGTGGTGGTAGTCAAAGTGCGGGAGGCAAGGATAGTAGAGGCAGAGGGGATAAGGGCATGGTGTTTTTGGCCAAAAGAATGGCTACATGTGAGAAAAGGAATACAATAGAGGAAGTGAAAAAATCGTTGGTGCAGAATCATAGACCTAGATTCTCTTATAAGGACTTCTTATTAAGCCTTAACTCTGTAGGATTTCTATCCTACAATAAAGAAAATGATGATATTCTAAAAGGCTGGAAAGGATATTTAATGAAGAAAACAGGAGATTGAAGAATCTGAGAGCTCAAACAAAGATGGCACAACGCAAGGAACAAGGAGGATAAAATGCTCGAAACTTAAGGTTTCAACTGAGCAACATGTGGAATGGTGCTAACTTTGGAGGAACTCATTGATTATCATACTCCTTGGAAAGAATATACTAGGGGTGTTCACGGGACGGGACGGGACCGAGACACCCCCGTCCCGTGTCTCGTCCCGAGAAAAAGATCGGGACTGAATTTTGGTCCCGTGTCCCGTCCCGTCCCGTTAAGAGTCGGGACGGGACCGGGACAAGATCGGGACGTCCTGCCGTCCCGATAAATGAAATAATATCGAAAAAAGATCTGGATAATAACATTCATTAAAATTTTAAATCATATAATTTATTAAGTTTAAAATCAAAACAACACAAGTACATAAATAACAATAATTTAAAATCAATTATTGAATCATATTAATCATAACTACACATTATAATAATAAACACAAATGATCTTTATACTATAAGATTAGTAACAATAGACAAGTCAAACATAACATCAAATCATTGTTCTTCTACTTTAGTGAAGATGTACTAAGCTAATTACTCTTCTAAAAATAAACAAAAAATACATTGTAAATAAAAGTTATTAAATAGATATATATAAGAATAAATATATTAATATAATTAATATATTATAAAGAAAGATATCGCCATGTTTACTCCATGCCATTAAATTTATCAATATAAAAAATTTTAGTTTTAAATAAGAATTGTAAGTATTAAAATTATAATTGATATAAGTATAAATTATATTAATATAATTAATATATTTAAAATAAAAAATAATATATATAATATTCGGGACGGGACGGGACGTCCCGATGGTAATCCCGTGTCCCGTCCCGTCCCGAACCTCTTTCCTGTCCCGTCCTGTAAAGTCCCGTCCCGATTATTTTCGGGCCGGGACAAGACCCGTCCCGATATGATCGGGACGATACCGGGCCAATCGGGACGGGTCCGGACTGAACACCCCTAGAATATACCCTTGAGGTTTTTGCATCCATAGTTGATTCGCATATGGAGATTGACTGACGTGATGCACATCACACCTCTCAACAATGGATATTTTGTTGTGTCTTTTATGAAAAAGAAAGATTTAGAGTATGCTTATTAAGAGGAACCTTGTATGATTGATTACCACTATCTCCTTGTTCAAAAATCCAAATTTCAATCTATGAAAGGCAGAGGGAAAGCGGATGTAACGTTCTCACTCTACTAAATGCAATTAATAAAAGAAACCCGTGGTAATCAGAGGATTAGCTCAAAAAGTGATTATCAAGTTTTAACCCAAAAGTAAGGGATCCCAAGTTTTCTAAATAGAAACAAGTTAAAATCAATCAAAATCTTTCATATTAGAGTAAAAATAAGTTTCAAAAGCATGAGATACCTCAGAGTAGTGAAAGAAGTCACAAACGATTGAAAAATAAAACATATCCTGTGCTTTAGAGCAATCTTGTGCATGCTGTGCCATGGCGTGTTACTCTTTGTGCCACATGCCACCGCTCAGGTGCCATGCGCCGCGGTGTGTTACATGAAATTTCACTGGTTTTTCTGTCAAATGATAGCAGAATCAGGGGAATTTCTAACTCGCCTTGATTCTCCGTTCGATGTTTGAATGGGGTGATCTAGGTATTTACAGAAAGCTCTTTACATGAACTAACTAATGGCACGGGTTTCACTTTTAAAATAAGTCACATTAAGAAGTTGGATACCCAAGCATAATTTGACTACTTTTCAACATAATTTGTCCAAAACTCTCAATAAGTGCCAAAAGCTTTTCTTAATACCTAGACCATGTCCAATGGACCTAGGACTACCAGTACAATACATCACAAGCATCGAAATATTAATATAACAAAAATTCACTCTCAACCCCATTTTACTAAAAATAAAGGAGGAGGTAATTTGTCATTGCATGTAACTCAAATCATTCATAATATGCTCAAATCTTCATTTCTACACTTGCGCTAGTATTTTGACCCTATAAACATATGTATATGTCAACATACACAAAGGCTAAGGGCCCAAAATATAATTCTAATATTTTCAACAACCAAAATAGTACAAGTGAGGTAATATGCATCCTAGAATTGGCAAGCTATATACTATTATCCAATTAAAACTAAACTAGAGGCATGCAGTAGAAATATGCTAATTCCTTGCCTCTTTAGTCTTCTCCCTCTCAACACTAGAGCTAGAGCCTGAAAAGTATTAAATAAGAGGGGTGAGTCTAGCCACTCAGTAACCAAGGTTAACCCTACCCTATACAGTTATATATCAATTGTAAAACAAAATACATGCATAGGGAGATCAAATATGCAAATCAAACTCACATGTACCATAATTTACCATTTATCATTATATAGCTTCTTTAACTCATGTAACTAGGTGCATTATCACCATATTCTCGGATATACGACATGACCCATACTCTTGCTACCTGCCACCACTTAGCACGCGTGACACATCATACATTTACTTGAGCAATGATCATCCAACCTTATATCCTCCTTATTTTCTCAAACTGAAACCGTGGGCTATAACATTGATTAGGGTTCCATTCGTGTGACTGGACTGTTAAAGCTCACCAATTGTGAAGTGTGACCTGACCAAAGATTATAGAACTCACTCTTAGACCACGGCTTCCCCCATTTTCAAATCCTTGGGGTGTCTCATACCTTAGGCTATTCTCCTCATTGAATCGATGGAGATAGCTAGGTTCTAGTTCCTTGACAACTATGGGACAATCCCTCGATAAATAATAGGATAAGGCTATAGCCCTTGTGCACCAGAG